CCGGCCTCTCATGACCGTCTCCTCCCAGTACTCAACTACTCACTACTCAGGTTCTTACTTTTGCCCTAATTTCTCTAATTTTCTTAATTACTCAAATTTTATTTTAATTAATTTAATGTATTTTTTTTGTTGAATACATGAATTTCAAAATTTTTTTTATCTGAGTATGAATTTATGATTTATGAATGTGAATTGCCAATGTGGATTTATGATTTAGGTTTGGTGTTCGGTGTTCCTAATTTTTCTAAACAGTAAACACAGTGAATAGGTAAATGGCCGAATGAATGAATGATGCAGTGAATGGTGTTTTCTAATTTGAAATTTGAATACATTTATACTTGAATATTTGCTACTTGCTAATTTTCAATTGGTGAATGGCAGTGAATACAAAATAGATTATATTGGTGTTTTTTAATTTTTTTAATTTTGTTTTTGTCCTAATTTTCCTAAATCTTAGTATATTGTATTTTATTGATTCAGTTATGGAAAAAATTTTCAAAAGAAAATTAACTTTTGGAAATTCATCTAGTCAAAGTAGTCGTGAAGTGTCAAGTACATGGCCTCGTATTGAAGTTAACATAGATGAACTTGAAGCTGATCCGGGTAAAAGGAAAAATATATATGAATATCATATCAATGATAGAGATATTGTGCGGAGACGATATCTACAAATGGGTCCTTGTCAACAAAAAAGTCAATGTCTTTCCTTCTAGAGTGATTACGGGTGTTAATAGGAGATTTAATCCTAAATGGTTTGAAGATCATAGCAATTGGTTGGAATATAGTGTATCTGAAGATGCAGCATATTGTTTATGTTGTTATCTATTCAAAGCTGAAAGTAGTGGACAACAAGCTGGGGGAGAATCATTTGTCAAGAGATATATCAGTGAAAGAGCAGATGATTGTGTTTATTCGGTATGTGGATTCAAGTGGGCATATTATTGAGCGTCTTCTTGGAATTACTCATGTTCGTGATACCTCATCTATGTCTCTTAAAGTAGCAATTGAACATCTTCTAACAAGGCATGGATTAAGCATTTCAAGAATACGAGGTCAAGGCTATAATGGAGCAAGTAATATGCGAGGTGAGTTCAATGGTGTTCGGACTTTGATTATGAATGAGAATCCAAGTGCTTTTTATGTTCATTGTTTTGCTCATCAACTACAACTAGCACTTGTGGGTGTTGCAAAGGAAAATGAGGATGTTGGAGATTTTTTTGTCACTGTCTCGCAATTGTGCAATATTATGGGGGTGTTTGGTTACTAGCTGATCAGCTAAAAATTAGCTGATTTGACTAGGTTTAGCTGTTTGACTCATCAATAAGCTGTTTTAGAGTGTTTTGGTAAATGGCTGATTGCAATGGCTGATTGAGAAAATTAGCTAAAAATGGAAACGCTGGGGAATGCAGCGTTTTTTCCTTAGCTGATTGAAATTGATTATAAATGGACAAATTTATCCTTTCTAATCCTTCATCCCTGACATGCTCTCTTCAGCCTCTTCTTCATCTAACATCAAACACTCTTTCACCATACTCATCCGTCTATGGTTCATCTTTGTTTCCCCACCCTTTCTCCACCCTCCATCAACGCCTTCTCCATCCACCGTCCTTCACGCGGGTCACCACTGTTCGCGCCGCCGGAGTCATCATCATCCGGATTAAAAAAAAAAAAAAAAGAACTACAACAATAAAAATGAAATACACTAACCCAATCCATATTAATCTTCCTGCCATCTCCAATCACCAGATCTTCATCCTCTGCTTCTAGTATTTTTCTTCGCGTTGATCTTCATCTCCGCTTCTCATCTTTTTCTTCGATTGAGTTCTTGCGGCTTTCTTTGGAGTGATTTGGGGCAAAGTAAAAAATTGGGTAGGGATTTACTTTTTAAGTGGGTTCTGAGTAGATATTTGATATAATAATAATAATAATAATAATAATAATAATAATAATAATAATAATAATAATAATAATAAACGGGTTGTGGGTGTGGGGCTGTGGGTAGAATTTAATAAACGGGTTTTGATATATTATTTTTATTTTTATTTTTACAGTAAAAATCATTTTAAATTTTAAATTATTAAAATTAAAAATAATTTAATAATATTTTTAAAATATAATAATTTAATAATAGTTAAATAAACTAAAATAACATAATACATTCATACCCTTAAATGTCATTTTACATGCAATAAGCTAATAGTGAACAACTAATTTACCAAACACTTTTTTATAACCAGCTAATACAATCAGTTGGTCAAACCAATTAACACAATCAGCTATTAACTATCATCTAACTCGATCAGCTATCAGCTACCAGTTATCAGCCATTTGCCAAACGCCCCTTATATGTGCTTCATGTAAGCGAAGGGATAGCTTATGAGACAAACAATTACAGATGTTGATTGATTCAATTTATGCTGATACCATTGAAACGGGAATTGGTTTGAATCAAGAAGTAGTTTTACAACGTCCTGGTGATACATGTTGGGGATCTCATTATGGTGCACTTGTGAGCATTCTGAAATTATTTTCTCCGGTGATTGATGTTCTTGACGAATTAAGGCAAGATCTAAAACAATGGCTAAAAGCATTTAGAGTATTGAAGAATGTCCTATGTTTTGATTTTGTATTCTTTTTGCACTTAATGAAGGATGTTTTAGCAATTACCAATGACTTGTCACAGGCATTACAGAAGAAAGATTAAAACATTGTGAATGCCATGAGACTAGTTGATGTCTCAAAACAAAGGTTGCAAATGATGAGAGATGATGGGTGGGAAGCTCATTTAAAAGAAGTTTCACTATTTTGCAACAAGCATGCAATTCTCATACCTAATATGGATGAAGTTTATGTAGCTCCTGGAGACCTCGCCGTAATGTTGAAGAAAGGACTCATCTTCATAGGTACCGTGTTGAAAGGTTTTGTGTGGTCTTAGATCTACAACTTCAAGAGCTAAACAACCGTTTCAATGAGAAGAATACAGAGTTGCTCTTATGCGTGGCATGTTTTGATCTAAGGAATTCATTTGCTATGTTTGATAAAGATAAGTTAATTCGATTGACACAGTTCTATCCAAATGATTTTTTTGATATTGAACTTGAATTACTATATAACCAACTACAGACTTATTTTGTTGATGTAAGTACTGATCCTGCTTTCTCTAAATTGGATGGTATTGATGAATTAGCTCAATAACTGGTGGAAACGAGAAGACATTTGGACTATACGTTTGTGTATTTGCTTCTAAAGTTGTTTTTGATCCTACCAGTTGCAATGCTAGTGTGGAAAAAGCATTTTCTGCTATGAAGTTAATTAAGACATCTTTACGCAACCGGATGAGTGATGATTTCTTACATGATTGTTTAGTGCCATATGTTGAAAAAGATGTTTTTAATCAAGTATCAAATGAAGCAATTCTACAACGATTCCAAAAGATGAGAGAGCGTAGAGGAGTATTATCTCGTAGTTCATCATAAACTTTGTATTGTAATTTATAATGTATTTTATATTTTGACAATTATATTCGTATTAGATATTTTGTATTTGAACCTTGTATTTAAACATTTTTAAATTTATGTTGCCTTTACTTCTTCGCCCCCCTTGAGAAAAATTTCTGGCTCCGTCCTTGTTGACCAGTGGTGGTGATGACATCGACGAAGGAGCAGCAGATACGTTTGCTTTAGGTACGGTCTTTTGTTTTCCCCCCTATTAGATGGTTTTTACTTGTTTCTAGTTGACCACAAATCGCTAAAGAAGTACCCGATCTGATTCAGCGACGCAAGCTCAAGAAAGCAAAGATTTTGGTTCCTCGGGCTATTTGATTTCTGTTTTCCAATTGTTCTATTGACTACTTTTATATTATCTTATTTTGCTCTAATAGTGCAAGTGATGAGTTTGTGATGTTATTTGGATTTTATTGTTTTTTTTTTCATTTTTGTTAATAGCTTTGTTATTAGGTCTTTCCTGGGTAGGTTTTAGTACTCAGAAACCTAAAGAAATGGTCTGGATTCAGCCTGTTCAAATTAATGGTGTGAGATGTGTGTACTATATATTTTGCGTGTCTTTAACCGAGACTTTGTCATCTTTTATGGTTACAAGACTCAATCAAATGGTTCAAGGAACAAATAAGTCACCTTTCTCACTTATTCCCATTAGAATATCTTCCTGTAATAATGGATATGGTTGGGCATACTTGATCTAGATTTTGCGTGACAGCCTCAATATTGTCTACCACAATGATTTACGATAGTATAGGCTCAAAATTGAATAGGCTTATTTGGTTATTTGTTTTTGTTTCAGCCTTGGGAGTTAAGAATGTTTATGGATTATGGCACTAGAAACCTAACTAGGACACTCGTTTTACTTGAAAACCTCGATCCTTCATTAACTTCAGAGGTACACCTTCTAATGTATATTCAGAATAGCCTAAGTACTCTGCGGTCTGAAATTTACTTACACAGATACAAAGGAGGGAAAACAGTGTTCAATCATTTGAAAAGCTTCGCCAGGTGAACTTATGGACCATTTATCCTATCTGTTTGTGTTTGGTCTCCCTTCTTTCACTTGATATTACTTGTAGGAGTTGAATATGTATTAGTACTTATCCCTTTACTGCAATATTCAGCTCTCATGAACTTCACTTTACCTGCTATGTTGATGTTTTGTCCCCAGCGGTCATACTTGCCTTCAGAAATGGTTTGCTTCATGAATTCCTTCACTTGTCACAAGAGTTAGAATTGCTATAGGCACAACACGTGCCGTTAAGTAAGTTGTTCTTTTATCTTTGGTGTAGTTAGAGCTTTTAGATTCCATTCATGAGGATGGTGCAAATCCTCTTTATATCTTTGACTGCCTTTATATGATGTGGATTTTAAATGAACATTGGATTCAAATACAGCAACTTGAGCAGGCCGCACAATAAGTAGATGTATGTTCTTGTGTAGTACTTTTGTTTCATATTTATCAATTAGAAATTAAACTAACCTTGCTGAAGGTCCTAAATGAATCTTGCATTGTAGATTAGAGAATTGAAGGTGAAATCTCCCTACTTTTTATTCCAGATTAGAGTATTGCAGCCACCAGGCACTGTTTTACAAAATTGAACAGGAGGTAATGTATTTTTGCTTTTTGCTCAACAATAATATTGGCTTAACTTGCTCAATGTATTTTTGCTTTGCTAGAATGTTTGTCTTAGATTATATTGTGGATTGTGTTGTAGTTTAGATTATTGAAATTGTGATATGGCCTCAAAAGAACTACATCAATGTAGATTCTGTTATATGGTGGTGACAAATTTATGGTTCATGAACTTGAAGAACCCAAGATCATGTAGCATTGCTCAATTTTTCTGTATTAATTTTCTGAATTTCCTTAAGATTTCATAGTTGTGTACCCTGCTTTGATTGCAGCATGTAGTGGACAGTATGAAAAACCCCAACATTGCCTAATTTTGGTTGATTACCTTGCCTCTTGTAGGAGGATTTGAATATGATGATGATGTCAAAAGGAAGATTTGGTGGCAATACAAGGTCCACTTCTGTTTACATCTGTATTTCATTATAACCCCTGGTTATATACTTTTTTCTAACCAAGTATATTTCTTGTAGGTGTATTCCTTTTAGGCTTAGAGATACAGAGAAGTAGCGGTGGCATGTCTGAGAAAATCATTGAAGTGCTTACGCTAAACTCAATTAGTGGGCTTTGTCTTCTTTTCCGTAAAGTGAGTAATACATCATATTAATATTTCCTTTAACAGTTAATATTCTGTTCATAACCTAAATGATTTAAATAGATAACAATTTGAAAGTGCATGCAGAATTCCTTAGAGTTTTGACAGTTCATAAGCTATGAAGCCTGTATATTATTTTATTCTCACACTTAACTGCTCTGATCTTGCCAGTCTTATAATGGAGTAATTGGTAGTGATTCTCAACTTCTAAAAATGACTTTGTTTTCTTGGTGAGAAATCTATGTTAAAAGTAGAGTACTTTTGTTGCCATTCTGTAAGTGGTTTCAACTAATTCAAAACTTGAACATTAGATAAGGGTTTTAATATTCTCATTTAACACTTCATTTCTTTCATAAAGTTCTTATCATTGTGAACTGGTTAGTAAATATGCAATGACCTAAAAAGGGTGTACACCAATTCCATGTCATCTTTGTTCATCAGGGAAACAATGCAAATAATTAAAGAACTTGGACATTTTGGTGGGTTCTTAGATACTGCATTCTTGAAAACGACATTAGTAGAAGAATTTCAACAAATGGAGAGTTGGTATGCCATTCTTCCCTCTCTATTCTTGTTTTTTAAGATTCCTATCATTGTTTTTGAAGCATCACTAGGCATTGTGACTCTATAGGTATTTGCTTGCATTGTTCTCTCCTCACTAACAATTATTGTTGAGAGGGCAAGGTCTTATGCTTGGATAATTGGTCTTTTTGCATCCACAGAGTTGTCACTTCAACGAGCTATTCTTCATTTTGAATGTTAATAGAATATATATGTTGTTGTGTCTTTAGGTATTTAAATATTTTGAGATCTAGTTGGTATTAAATGTTTGCCATGAATATCTTGTAGTTCAGATTATATTGTGAATATTATTGCAGGGTTGAATGATTATTTGTGGATGATTAAATTTGATTATATTGAAGATAGCTGGAATTTACTGTGGCTGGGAGAAAGAAATTTTTTTTTTTATATTGTGAATATTATTGCAGGGCTGAATGACTAAATTTGATTAGATAGCTGGAATTTACTGTGGCAGGGAGAATGAAATTTAATTTTTTTAAAAAACAAACAACAATAGGCGCCTGTTTTTCTTGAGAAACTGACGCCAGTTGTCAAAATTTTTTAAAAATACTCTAAAAACGCGTCTGTTTCTGTAAAGACACAAACGCCTAAAGGCCACTATGGCGACTCTGAAGAACAGACGCCTAAAGTCATCTTGGAGTCCCCTCTATCCCTAGGAGGCTCAAAAAGGACTCGTTTCCTAACATTGTAGACCTGGTGCAAAGTAGATTAGCAAGGTCGAAAATGAGAACACTTACCTTAGTAGGCAGACATGTATTAGTGCAGTCTGTTCTCTCGGTGATCCGTACATATACTATGCAGACAATTCCAATTCCCAAAGGTATTACTGTAACACCCCTAAAATTTTAAACTTTCAAAACTTATGAAATGAAGGTAATACTATCATTAAATCCCAAAAACAGAGCGTACTAAACATAAGTGTTTGGGGCGCTATACCACATCTGAGCTGGAGAACTCAGATGCACAGGCTAAACTATCTAATTATCCTCAAAACAATGTCATTACATCATCATGGCACGCATGCCGAAAAGGAAGCTAACTATCTAAGCCTTGGGTCCTCTAGCGCGCTCCGGAGCTACTCATCTATGCCTGAAAGCCAAACGCGTTAAAATACAATATAGGTATATATATATATATATATATATATATATATATATATATATATATATATATATATATATATATATATATATATATATATATATATATATATATATATATATATAGGAAAACCATTTTGAAGCCGAAAGATATATACTTAGGAGACTCTAGCTTTAAAATAGAGAATAGACTCAACAGGTAAGGACAAGCACATTTATCAGTTATAATCATGCATATAAAGATCAGATACTAGCATACACCTTAAGGTCACACATCACCATATCAGTATTCAACCATTATCTCAACACATAAGCACATTTTGGTGGCGCCACAGGACCAATCGCATGCCCATACATGAGGGTCAGCGCATATAGCGCTAACAGGGCCCGCAGCATCCTGCCTCGTACCGCAGCACGAAGGGGTTGATTGCAACCAACCGATGAACCACAACTCATCATAACGTTTGATCGCAACCAAACAGTGGAGCGCAGCCAAATATAATATTTATATACCTGGCCGATCGCAACCGGCCTGGTTAACAGCCGATGGTTCTCAACCCATCCAACTGCCCGTATAGCCAATTTGATCGCAACCAAATTGGGGTATCATGCACACATAACACATAGCAAGCACGTGCAACCCACATTAGTATATTGGGAAGGTGGAAAACGTATAAATAAAACTAATGCGTGGTCATTCACATACTAGGAATATTCCTAAGGGGTTCATACATCTTTCACCTAGGCCAACGGGATACCAATTCAACTAGCATGCAATACACAAGACTCTTTTGTCCTACGAATGGTACCCGAAACATCAAACTAGACTCAGGCACGACAAACGGGGTCCGTTGGGACACCACGGGGAACGGGGAAACATCAAACGGGGAAAACCACCATCCACACTGGGAAAACCCAGCGGGTGGCCAGCGGCCCGCTACCGGCGACACCAATTGGGGCAGCGGGTAGGTGGCGGATTCCCCTACCCCTACCGACTCTTTTGTAATAATTTTGTCCCAGGATCTTTCGTGGAACCCGAAACCATGTCTAGACACATTCAAACACAAACGACGACACCACGTAATCAAGTAACAGATTAAAACCAAGAATCACGTTAAATACATCCTAACATGACTTCTAAACATAAACAAGACTCAATACCCGAACATGCAAAATCTCACCCAAACATACCAAGAATATCACAATACGAAATCCATGATTTAACCTAGGGCTCTAATCACATTTAAATCACAAGATCATAACTTCATCTTTAAAATCAAGAACATCAAGAATATCAAGATCAACACACAATTATTAAGATTCCCTCATAATCATCAAGATTATCAAGATCAACACATAATATCATCTAATAAATGTCAAGATCATATTATAATCATCATAAAAGCTTTATCAAGACACAAGCATAGAATTGCATATCAATGGAGCCAAAGAAGAAGATTATAGCAAGGAAAATAGGTTTTGTTGAGACATGGGTTACCTCTTAGCCTTAATTAGAATCCTTGGCTATAAAGGTTCTTTCTCTAAGATCTCCTCTTCTTGATTTCTCCTACGTTTGGTGATAGGGGAATTCTTGGGAATTCTTGTGTGGTGAAAGCTATTGTGGTGTGAATTCTAGGTTCCTCTTATGTCCTTATATATATCTAAGGGTCCTAATCAGGGTCTGATTGGTATGGATTTTCTAATTCTATTCCTTATAGGACTAATGGCCCGTTTGGTTCACGGAATAGGCTGGGAATGGCATGGCGTTCCCAGTAACAGGCCTATTCTTTTTTTTTGGTAACAATGTATATTACTAGGAATAATGTTCTTAGTAATAGCCTATTACCTCAGATGAGGTAATAGCTATTACTAGCCCCCCTTGGTATTAACTTATTCCTGAGTCCTCAGGAATAGAATATTTTTTTTTTCAATTTTAACCTTATCTTTCTTGCCGTTCTCTCCCTACGTATCATTCTACCCATCCCCGATTCTTTCATCATCAACATCAAAGTCAAGCAATTCTTTCTGCCACATCAAATCAAAGCATCATCAACATCAAAGTCAATCAATTCTTTCTGCCACATCAAATTAAAGCATCAAACAAAGATAAATTTTCAGAATTTTATTCTTCACAAATTAAATATTTAAATATTTAATTTTATATATATATATATATATATATATATATACACACACACACACACACACACACACACACACACATACACACTGCTGCAGCTGCGGAACCCTCCGCGCCGCAGCAGTATATATGTTACATATATACTGTTGCGGCGTGGAGGGTTCCGCAGCCGCAGCAGTTTTGTTTAATTTTTTTTTTTTTTTATAGTTAGTTTAGTTAATGATATCATTAATGTAATTATCACAAAATTCATATAGACAACTTAATTAGTTTGATTGTACAATGATAGACTTGGTGGGAGTACCAGATAATGATATGTTCATCTAATAATTTACCCATCTAATATCAATCAAAGTTTATTTAGTTAAGATTAAGGTTGACAAACAGATAATTTTTAACATGGAAATTGGTGAAAATGAAAGAAAAGATTGAATTTTTTTATGCTGAATTGAATTGTAATACTTAGTTAGGATTTGTAATACTTACTTAGGAATTGAAAATGGATGGGTCCTTGACTTAGTTTTTAGTTTAGTTTATTGTTTATTGTTTATTGTTTTTTGTTTTTTTTTTTGTTTTTTTTTGTTTTTTTTTTTTGTTTTTTTTTTTTGTTTTTTTTGCTGTAAAAGTGTTATTGTTTATTTTGTTTTGTTTTTTGTCACAGCAATGTTTTTTTTTTTTTTTTTTTTTTTTTTTTTTTTTTTTTTTTTTTTTTTTTACGTAGTGTTATTATAATCTGTATAAGTTATTGTAAGTTTTAAATTAAATTTGCAGTTATGGCTCGATTGCGTTTAATAACTCGTACTGAAAGAAGGAAAAGATGTGTAGCTGTATTGCGTGTATGGTTGGATATGTGTGCTTCTGTGAGTTTATTGTTTATCATGATGATGTCAACCTTGACAATTTTGTGTTCTAATAAAAAACGAGTGAAATCTTATATTATAAATACTTTAGGGTCTCGAGAATATATGTTACGAACTGTATATTTGTGTGATGAAAAATGCATATCTCATCTTAGGATATCGATATGCTTTTGTGAAGTTGTGTGCAATGTTACAAATTATAGGAGGGTTAAGGCCAACAAGAAATATGCTTGTTGATGAGCAAGTAGCAATATTTTACATATTATTGCTCATCACGTAAAAAATAGGATCATTCAAAATAATTTTCAAAGGTCGGGGGAAACTATTAGTCGATACTTTAATATAGTATTGAATGCTGTTTTGAAACTCCGAAATCATTTTTTCAAAGATTCTGAACCAGTTCCAGCTACCTCTACAGATCATAGATGGAAATGGTTTAAGGTAGTTAAACATATCCCCTACAGTTGAGTTATAAGTTTAATTACAATGTGAATATATATTTAATAATATTTGATATTATTTCTAGAATTGCCTAGGCGCTTTAGATGGAACTTTCATTAGAATACAAGTGTCATCAGAAGATAAACCTAGATATCGATCTCGCAAGGGTGAAATTGCAACAAATGTATTAGGTGTATGTACACCTAATTTGCAATTTGTGTATGTTCTTCCGGGATGGGAAGGATCTGTAGCAGACAGTAGAGTTCTTCGGGATGCACTATCTAGAAGACATCCACTTAAGGTCCCTAATGGTAAGCATTATAATATTAAATTTCAATTATCATATAATATAATATGCATTCGTATTAAACTATAAACTTATGTTTCTAGGTTGTTACTACTTAGTTGACGGAGGATATGCTAATAGTGAGGGATTTTTTGCACCATTTAGAGGTCAAAGGTACCACTTAAATGAATGGCGTCAAGGTCATCAACCGACAACTCCTCAAGAATTCTTTAATATGAAACATGCATGTAACACCCCGCGTTACGGCCCTCAATCCCGAATTAATTATTTAATTAATTCCGTTAATAATAATTAAAAAGGATTTAATTTGATTAGGATTCCCTTTAATTAATTAATATGGTCCACCATGCATTGTGGACCCTTTCCTAAACTAGAGTCT